GTAAAATGGTTGAGCAAAATTAACTTTATGCAAAATGCGCCTCTTTATTGTGATCCGCAAAAGTAATTGAAATTAGTACGTCGCATTGTCAACGGCTTAAACAACCATCGCTCGCCTATTGCCTTTCGTTTTATCGCGGATTTTGTTGTTTTCTTTCCGGCCTAGCGGCTAATTCTCAACGCGAGCAGATTAAGTACACATACATCGCCGCTTTATAGCAGAGCACAAATCATTTTATTACAAGAACTGTTATCTTGTTTAGAGATCCTTCATGATAACACTCACGAAAATTAATTATAAATTTTGACCACTCGACTTTTGAAAGCGACTTTACGCTAAAGAGCGAAAAGTAGCGCGCTTTATTCTGTTTGTGTTCCGATGCGCATAAAATCGTGGTAATCTAAGGCGTTGATTAGTCATATTGTGAGCTGTTTCCTTTATATTTACGCAAAACAAGCAAATTTCATGCGTAAATTTGTTGTTTAATTTTGTCACGATGGGACAACTGAAAGAATACAAACACAGTAAAGTAATGATTTTGAACAAAGACCGCCTTTGCAGCTCAGTCCAGCCGAACCGCTTAAAATGCAAGCGATTGGAAGGTTTACGGTCAGTTTCGCACGATCGCTAAACGAAATCGCAAGTTGCTTTTATTGATGGTGGCTGAGATACTTAATGGTGTGAAATATCGTCACATTTTGAATAGATAAGTTTACATTGCTTCTAGTCTTAACAGTAATATCTGAAAATGATTAATTCTCAATTGACTTTTGGCCATTTCTGCGGCTTTTAGCTCGGTTTTTATTGTCCTCTCAGCACGCAAACTTTATGCTGTCTTTTTGGGACTAAAATATACAGAAGTCACGAAATTCTGTTCTGCCGTGTTAGAAAGAACTCTTTTAAAAGTCCAAAAGTTAAATGTTAGACATGACATTTCAAATGTGTGCGATTTTAGTTTTTTTTTATGAAATGTACATGATAGAATTTTCAGGAAAACAGGATTTCGTTTATAATTGATAATTTAAAAAACTTAATCTGGCAATTATTGCAAATTATTTCTTCAGCAATTTGTAGCCGTTATTATCTCGCAAGGTCTTCGCAATTTTGTTGCGTAAAGTAAATCAACAGACTACAGGTGTACGAATAAACTATTTTCTATTCCAATTGGGTTGGAAGTGAAATAAATTTAAAATAGCTTTTCTAAAATCTTAGCTATGGTGTGCTTGGAATAAGAGCCACTTTGATCAAGTCGCTTTTCCTGAAATTTTGAACCAAGACAACTTGAGTCGAGACTTATCCAACCCCTTCGTCAAAAGGCAATTTCTAGAAAAACTACCATTTGCTAAATATTTATGAATGTGTAGTACTACAATTACAAAAAGTTGTACTTTGTTTTTCCCTCAAATAGGTTTGAAACTGATCAGTGGAAAGTACCTTGCTGTTCTGGTTAGAATCTACACCTTCTCTTTCTTGAACTCCCCTTGAATTGAATTAGCGACCGATGTACGTGCGTTCCGCTAAAACTTGAAATAAAAATAATGTCATTAATTGTACTCATTGCAGATGACGATCAAGATCATGATGAATCGATTGTAAAACGTCCTCACGCGCTAAGTCACGACATGGCAGGGGATTAATCGATTGAACAATTTTAGCTTACCTCTTTCAATAGCAGCTGCGCAGAAATCCCGCCAAATACCCAGTGAGAATAGAGATGCACACGCTAAAGGGATAAGAAAAATTGCACAGTGTTCATGTTTCGTTCACGCCGGGACAAACGTACTGAATAGTCGATGTGTGTGGCTTTTAATACGTTCCCGCCTTATTAGACCGCTGGCTGGTTGGATGTAGTAACGTTGGCGCATTGATCTAAAACAGCGCTGTTAAGAATTCATCGTAAAGACTAATAGAGACAATAGGTATGAAAAGAGCCTTTAAAATGGCTAATCTTCGCTTGCTTGTTAATGCGTTACTTTGCTTGGCCGAGAACAGTAATGTCAACCTTAGAGCGAAATTTCATTAACTTCGGAAGCTGGATTTCTGTAATAATTGCTTTCTTAATAACTTAAGTAAGTTGATTGTCAGAGCTGTCGCGAAAGAGACAAAGTTTACGAGCAGGTGCCAAGAAGATGACAACTCATTCATTTCTATTCTAAATTTTACGAGTGTTTAACAAAAACGCGCGTTATCATTTTTTCATCGATCTAACACAGTTGCCTCGACGCGTGGTTTTGTTGCTACAGAATACTAGCCCTACCTGTACCTGAATTTTATCTTCGCGGAAGTGAAGTTTGAAATTGAATTTACTGCATTCGCAGTTAAGTGCATACGGATATTTGATAGCTATTTAGCTTTTAAATATGCCCGTTTATGGCTCGGCTATTGTGTTTTTGTGTAAGTCCATTTTCGAAGTCATTCGAAACTCAGTTAAATCAGGTTAAAATGTCCGTTGTTCAGAGTGATGAAAACGTATTTTCTCTCTACGAACCCAATACATTGCCAAACAGACGGCTTATGAGAATAACGAAAATTATCAACTAGGAGATATTGACCTGATTTATAACCATATTCTCAGTATTAGCATTAAGACAAATGTCTGAAAAACGGTAAGGGGAATTTACATTTCGAGCTTACACTAAAACAGGTTCAAATTCACCTGTCTTTGTATCTGGAAACAAAAAGACTGAAGCGCCTCAACTGAGTGTATATCTCCTATTTTTCTTTGATGTGATAATTACCTCAAATTAGGCCTCAGGGGTTTTAGAATTCGTCAAACTTGAAACTAAAACTGAGACGACAATAAT